CCCCCTCCCACTGTGGCCCAAAAACCTTTCTCAAAATCCAGTATGGCTGCCCCTTTCAGGAAGAGGGATCCTGGACACTGTATAGAACACAAAGAAAACACCGGGCGCATGCCCTGGTGCAATAAAATCTTTTTGTTGGTAAAAGAAATATACAAAATATATAGTCACAAATGGAGCAAGGATAAAAAGCGACAGTCCTCAACGGATACTTCTGCTGTGGAGGTAAGTGGGAGACAATGAGAGACAGTCCAGAGGCTTTGCTAATCTGCAGAGACAAGCTACTACTGCTGAACGCGTTTTCGAGGACACACCTGCTTCCTCATAGCTGTTCCATAGAGCGTACAGGCTTCCTGGTCTGCTCCTATCATATATAATGTCAGTAGTGCCCCCCCAGCTCTTAATCACATGATGTTTGCTTTAAGCATAACTAACCTCGAGAACAAAAATGTAATATAATGTAGCTTACCAGTCCTTCCCATTTGATGGCTGCATTAGTTTATTCATTTTCAGCAAGTACAGAAAATGTATTTTGCTCTATGCAGAAATGTTGTGAAAAAATGTAAAAGAAAACTAATGCAGCTACCACATGTAAGCACTGGTTAGCTGTAATATATTTTGGGGTTTACATGCACCCTAAAGTCTGGTAACCGAGGTCATGAGGTAAAGTTCAAAGTAATCTCTTTTTGTTTTTAAAACAGTTGAGGTAGTAAATATGTTTCTTAAAAATAAGCTACTAACGTTGGTCTAATATCTCTTTTCTACAGCTGTTTGCAAACCGATCCTGGGGTGTGCAGCAGTTTTCTCCAGAAGACCAAGCCTTGTGGGAGGGTGTTACAGAAGAGTTAATGTCCGATGAAGAGGACAGTCTGTCTGAGCCGGGGGTATGGGTAGCCCGACCACCTCTTTTCCGAGCGCCCGAGCTCTCAAGACTCTGTTACAGCATTGACTCGCATTCTAAACATGGCAATAAAGCCAATCGCGTTTATGGTGCTCCCTCTGACCGACTGCCTTCTGCTGAGCTCCAGCTATTGCCCCCGCACCTTTATAATCCTGACTGGGAAAGGGAGGTAAATGAAGAGGAACTGGCGGGAGGCCCAAGGGGAAGAAAATCATTTTGTCCTGATCTCAACTCTTTTATACAGATAAAAGTGGAGAAAGATGAATAAGACGTTGTGGATCATCAATGCACAAACATTTCTTTTCATAAAGGTCACACAATACAAAACTGTGAAGGAAGGTGTAAACAGTGAAGGTGACCTGTGAGAAAGGGCTAACGTCCATCGCAAATATTAATGAAAACTGCAATTGTGTTCCTGACATGGGTCCAGCAGTGCTTCACTTCGGTGAAAGCACAATAAAATGTTATTTTTTAACATTGTGTCTCTTTGTTTGGCGTGAGCCTATCCTAATTGTGAATGGTCAGCTGAATATGTTACCAGGATTTGTTTTACTGTATGTCCAGACATGGTGTGAATGGATAGAAATTCATGATGGCCATGAGTTCTAAGCAAAATCCTTTCAGCAGATGAAAATAAGTTGTAAAACCTATTTTCCTTCAATCCATGGCTCAGAAGTAGAACCTGTTCTTTGATGAGGTCATCCTCTCTCCTATTTACGATATAAAGATTGATTGGGGAAAAGTGAGTCATCGGCTCCTAAACTACCATTTTGATTTATTTTGACTGTTAAGTCATTTTTGATGCGCCATTCATGTTTTTACGTATTTTTCATATTTTCATAATTGTATTTAATGAGTAACTTTGTAGATTCTTCCCTTAGTGGCATCTTTTGAGTTTCTGTTCATCAGGCAATACCCTTCACTCATGATAAATGCTAAGATGAGATAGATCCCATTATAAAGCCCATAGACTGTTTATTGTTTTCATTACTATTACACAGAGAGCATGAACTATGTATATAACTGGCAACTACGGCTACTTCCATCTACATACTGTGTATACACTGATCAGCCATTACATTATGACCACCGAGAGGGTAAGTGAATAACAATGATTATCTCATTAAAATGGCACCTGGAGGTGGGTGGGATATATTAGGCAGGAAGTGAATGTTTTGTCTCTGAAGTTGATGTGCTGGAAGCAGAAAAAATGGGCAAGTGGAAGGATCTGAGCGACTTTGACAAGGGCCAAATTGTGATGGCCACTGAATCAGAGGAACTCCAAAACTGCAGCTTTTGTGGGATGTTTCCGGTCTGCAGTGGTCAGGACCTACCAAAAGTGGTCCAAAGAAGGAAAACCAGTAACAGGGCCATGGGCGGCCAAGGCTCATTGGTGCACCTGATGAACGAGGGCTGGCCCGTGTAGTCCGCTCCAATAGAAGAGCTATTGTAGCTCAAATTGCTTAAAAAGTGAATGCTGTTTCTAATAGAATGTTGCCTGAAGACACAGTGCACCACCGTTTGTTGTATGTGGCTGTATCGCTGCAAACCGATTGATATCCACCACCAAAAGTGCATACAATGGGCATGTGAGTATCAGAACTAGACCACAGAGGAATGGAATAAGGTGGCCTGCTCTGATGAATCATGTTTTCTTTTATATCATATGGATGGCTGGGTGTGTATGCGTCACTTGTCTTGGGAAGAGATGGTCACCAGGATGCACTATGGGAAGAAGGCAAGATGGCGGAGGCAGTATGATGCTTGGGGCAATGTTCTGCTAGAAAAAATATCTTGGATCCTGCCATTCCTGTGGATGTTCTTTGACACGTACCACCTACCTAAACATTGTTGCTGACCAAGTACACCCCTTCATGGAAAATGTATTCCCTAATGACAGTGGCCTCTTTCAGCAGGATAATGCGCCAAGCCACACTGCAGAAATAGTTCAAAAATGGTTTGAGGAACACAACAATGAGTTTGAGGTGTTGACTTGGCTTCAATTGTCCAGCTCTCAATCCAATTGAGCATCTGTGGCATGTGCTGGAAAACAAGTCCAATCCAAGGAGGCCTCACCTGACAACTTACAGGACTTGAAGGATCTGCTACTGACGGCTTGGTGCCAGACACCATACCATACCTTCAGAGGTCTAGAGGAGTCCATGTCTCACCGGGGTCAAGGCTGTTTTGGCAGCAAAAGGGGGTCATAATGTTATGGCTGATCAGTCTATATTCTATATATATATATATACACACACAAACAACTGATTGGGTTGACTACATTTACATGTGTGTGTACATATGTGTATGGGACAGACATCTACTATCTTTGCTCCCAGTCCTCGGAGAATTACCATAGACCAGGAGAAAATCAACCTTGACACTCCAGCTGTGGTGAAACTATAAGTCCTATAAGGCATTGCAAGAATTTGACAGCCACAGGTATGACTTCCAGAGGCAGAGGCATGATTGGAGTTGTGGTTTCACCACACCTTGAGTGCTGAGGTTGCCTACATCTGCCATAGATGATATCATTAGCTGTTACTCAGCACGCTTATTAATGTTTTTTGGTGATTTTTCTGATAAGGCAGATAGCAAGGGATAAAATGATGACTCTCTTGGCAGGATCAACTGGTAAAACTATGTTGCAGGGAAGACTCGGAAAAACAAAAGCTGCTGTGCGTTGTTTTTTTACCTGTAGATCTGTTATTTTTTTTCACTTTCTTTAACAGGATGACAACACTGTTCACTCTGCAGTAAAATCACACAGCAGCACTGTCACCCTGTGGACAGCGTACTTTCAGAGGGGCATAATTATAAAGCAGTGAATCGGGCATTCAGCAAACATTCACTGCAGTTGAATCTTCCAGGTGCATGGGTTTTAAATTAGTGATTCGTCAGCAGAGAATGTTGTGGGGAAAGTCCCATTTGCTGCTATATAAATTGACTCCTTAGCTTTAAATAGATTTTAAAGCAGACCTGACGTCACAAATATAATTTTTCAAACATGAAGGTTTTTTTTTTTATTATTGTAGTAGATACATGCTATTTGTACTAAAAGATAGCCTGCCTGTTCGCAATGTACGCTGAGCTTTGCACGGGCAGCCCGGTGTAAAATTTCAGCATCTGCCAAGATCAATGAACTCCTGCATACACGCGGTATTTAAGTCATCCTGGCACAGCCAATTCAAGATGGTGGAAGATCCCGTACCCTGACGAAGACACAGCAAAAACGTCAGTGGCTAGCGAGGGAGCTCACAGAGCCTGTATCACTGGAGGGAATTATAGTTTCTCTTTAAAGTGACATTAAAGTCACAAATATTTCCCCCATGCTGCTTTAAAGTCACAAATATTTCCCCCATGCTGCTTTAAAGACTTACCTTAAATGATGCGTCTTGATCCAATCATCTTCTTTCCACTTGTATTCAGCAATTCCTCCAGCGCTGGTGTTGGTCTCTGATACACCGCAGATCCCGTCTCTTCCTGTCCCACAGAGTCTGTCTGACGTGCACACTCCTGGCTGTGTGCATTCAGCTCCACTGTGTCTCTCCCTCCCTCAGCTCCCTGCCGAAGTTCTCTACTGCGCATGCACTCGCTCTCATCCTCAGATCTTTGGACAGGAGCTAGCAGCAGTGACAGAGGTAAGTAATTACCTTTTTGGTAACTTTTTTATTTTTTTAAATGTTTTTGCATATATCTACTGCTTGCTAGCAGTAGATATATGCAAAAAACAAAACAAGTTTAATTCTACTTTATGTAATGAACAATTTGAATCCGCACTCCAGCTAACACTTTTAATGCAGTTACAGAATTTTTTGGGATCAAACTGTATGGGTAAAAGCTGACTGTTGTAACCAGTCGGGATCCGTTCCGGCGTCTCAGTATACCGCAAGCTACAGCTCGTGATATACTGAGCTTTGGGTGATACGAGGGTGCTAGTTTGTGTTCTCAACTACCTATGGAGAAAAGCCCTGACCCCATAGTTCTCCTTTTAAAGGGAAAAATAACAAATCTACTGGTAGGATCAACAGATAATAAAACTACTAAAGACTTTGCATAAATACATGTGAGAGGAACGGCACCACACCCCCATTATATCATTCAAAAAGACCAATGGTGAGACCAAGATAATCAAACTATGTGACTGGGAGGACCCAGGAGAACAATAACTGCTGTGTTAATGTTACTGCATCATGTACGTAATATTTGATTGTGCCCACAGTTCCACTTTAAGCTTCCATTCACGCCTGTGAGTTTGGAATTTAGGGCGTTTTTTCACACAGAAAAAAAAACATGCAATTGTTAATAGATGCACGGTTTTCCGCGTGTTTGCTGCTACAGCCACTGTCAGAACGCGCAAAAACCACCCGGAAAATCGCGCATGTACTTTTTGCCGCATTTTTGTATTCGCGAACGAACACACAGGTGTGAACAAGCCCCGTAAGAATGTATTACTTTTTGTGTTTTGCGTATTTGTAAACCGCTCAGGTGTGAGCCAGGCCTAAGCTGCCAGTTCAGGCATTAACCACTTCAGGACAAGCATGTTACACTCCTTCCTGTTCAGGCCATTTCTAGGGCCAACATGCGTTTAGGCACTGGTACTGGATGACACTTACAGGCTGTACAGGCACTGGAATTGGGTGACACCAGTACTGGCTATAGAAACACTGGTACTGGCTGTACAGTCACTGGTACTGGATGACACCAGAACTGGCTGTATAGGCACTGGCGCTAGGTGACACTGGTATTGGCTGTACAGGGCACAGACACTGTACTGGATGGCACCGGTACTGGCTGTAAAGGCACTGACACTGGTGACATTGGTACTGGCTGTGCTGGCACTGGTATTGGCTGTACTGCATGGCACTGGCTGTACAGGTGCTGTACTGGATGACACTGGTACCGGCTTTACAGGCACTGTACTGGAAGTCACTGGTACTAACTGTACAGGCACTGTCCTGGAAGACACTGGTACTGGGTGTACAGGCACTGTCCTGGAAGACACTGCCACTGGCTGTACAGGCACTGGCACCGGGTGACAATGGTACTGGCACTGGGTGACAATGGTATTGGCTATACAGGCACTGGGTGACAATGGTACTGGCTGTACAGGCACTGGAGTTTTTCTAGTGAGTGGGTGGTATCTGATGGGGAAGTTGAGGGACTAGTTCATCATCAGGTTAGCACCCCTGGTGCTTGACACAGGCAGATTCTATAGCCAGTAGCCAGCTAATGGCTATGGAATAAGCCCAATGCCTGCTGTCAGTCACTAGTTGAGTGGACTTAATGAGTACCTAGTCCTTCTGTGTCCCCAACAAGCTCCACCCACTGACCTTGATCAGAACTACACCCTCCTGTCCTTTATAGCCAATGAAAGTGACTGAATTTGGATTGCAGTAGCCATGGTGCTGCATATGT